TATATATTGCACCCCTCTTCTGATATGGCATGATACTTCTTCTGCTATCTTATAATCCTTAAATAAGTTAATTTACAGCTTATATCTTATCTGAATGGCTTATTATACAATATATATTTTATTTAAATATTTTATTCTTTACTAACAACGCCGAACAGTACATAATATTAACACATTATAACAGAAACAAAACTATCACTACCTTAGCAAATCACAACAACCGATAGACGTACCATGGGTATTCATCTCCTCGTGCTCTTTCTTCCTCTGCTTTGCGAGTTCGCCCCAGTATTTACGTTCCTCTACAAACAGCGAACGCCGTTGGTATGAGATCGTTTTGGAGAGGTCAGCTCGACGCTGATGTCGTGCGACCAGGTCGTCTTCTGCAGGTAGTGCAGCCTCCGCCTCGTTCTTTTTCAAACAGCATTCGCGACGGAAGACAATGAATGCGTTCTTGGGTTGTTTGATGTGGTCTTAGTCACTAAGACTTAGTCGTCGCTCGGTCCCTGCAAGTTGAATTGCGTGTGCCTGTCGGTCGTAAGGTTGTACGTGTTGTGTAGGTTGAGGTTGCGCTTGTGAGAGAAGTTGTGAGACTGTCTGGCTAAAGGTGTGAGCGTGAGTATTGGCATTGACGTGAGTGGCTAACTGGAGCAAGGAGGTGGATGTATCGCGATGGCGTGTAGCGAGTGTGAGCAGTGCACCGGGGTTGTGATCCGGAGCGTTGAACGAGATGATTTGGGCTGCAGGCAAAGCTGTGTTTGTACCTGCGCGTTACATGCTCTGACTACGTCTCACAATCGGAGGTACAGTGAACTGAGTTGTTGGGGATGACTGCAAAGGTGTATCTCTGGGACTTCTGGCTCGAAGGGAGGAGGAGAAGTGGAAGGTGTGGACGGACTCAGCTCAGGAGGGGTGAGTGGTGGGCCACTGCTTTCGTTATTCGAAACGGTGTCATGAACGGCACTAGGTAATGTAAATGCACGTCAAGCATGGAATGGCGGGTGGGGAAGGAAAGTACGCGAGGGGTTGGAGAGAGGATCGCACCTTGGGAGTGGTTGTACATAGACATTGTCGCAAGCGTATGCTCGCCGATTGTTGCTTGTGCTGCAGAGCGGGAAGGAGTATGCAAATGCATGGTATTATTGAAGAAATCGTTCGGCATTGGAAACAATGCGGATGCACGAATGCGAATTCAAAAAGGAAGGCGAACTAAAAGAAAAGGAGGACAACAAAGGAGAGGCAGCTGCAGAGGAGCAGAAGGGAGACAAAAAAGTTGGGGAGAGAGAGATGAGCATCTATTGTGGTGCTTATTATGAAATGGACTGGCTGCTTACGCTTTATGTTGAAGGTGGAAGGGGACGCTGAAGTCAGCTGTATGGTATGGTATGGTATGGTATGGTATGGTATATTACCGGCATAGGTCCCTAAAAAGAAACGCTGAGGCTGGGTTGTGCCGTTGTAGGATCTGAGCTCAACGCGGGCATCACAACGACTGATTAGAGAGACGAGTGCAGCAATGTTTATTGTCTACATAGTTGCAGGCAGCGTGCCTGCTCGCAAGCAGAGGACTGAACTGGAGGGAACAAAAGCAACGAGTGCCACCATTCACAGGGCAGAGGGTTGAGGGTAGGCAGAGGTCAAAGGCAAGCGACGAGGGCGAGTGTGGCACTCAAGATTTAAGTAAAGTCCCATGTGATATTCAACCATTACATAAGCTAAGCTCACTTTATATTTACTATAC